GTATCTGCTGTGCTAATACAGGGGACAGGGAAGAGTGGAAATAAGCCATGAGTTTAGTTTTAGACATGACTCCCGAGTCTAAGGCACGGGTCTTTGCTGGCTGCTCTCCAGCTGCTGGTGAGCCACTCTTTGCCTGTTTTGGGCTGGGGAGATGGCTCAGTCAAATGCTTGCCTTACAATGTAAGGACCTGAATTAGGATCCCTGGCACCCACATAAAGGCTGACTGTGGTGGTACCTGCAATCCCCACACTGGGGAGGAGAGGAGGTTCCCTGGGACTTGGTGTTCAATCAGTCTAGTCAAATAGGAAAGCTCCAAGTTCAGTGAGAGACCCTGTCCCAAAGAATAAAGTGGAAAGCAATTGAGGAAGACATCTGACATCAACTTATGACTTCTGTGTGCATGTGCAGACATGTGCCTATACACAAATATGTACATACAGCACCCCAAAAATTATGAGTTTTGCTAGACACTTTATTTTTGTACTTTTTGACCACTACCTGCCCTTGGGTCACTGAAGACCTTCCCTAAACAAAGTTATTTCAGAGGCATTTTAGAAAGGATTTTTTTCTTAAATCTAAGATGTTAAATTAGATATGATGCATGCTTATAATGTAAACTGCAGGAGGTGAAGCAAGAAGATTGTGAGTTCAAAGCCCTCCTCAGCTGCATAGCAAGACCAAGACATGTCAGCTGCATAGGAAGACCCTGTCTCAAAAAACAATAAGGTAAACAAAAAAGAACCACTACAGATTGGCCAAGTTGAGAATACTGAGAATCATTACATGGTTGGCACCCTGTTTTTTACTCCTCCCTTCCACATAGCTATTAAGTGGAGAAAGTGCTGTTTCATGAAATGATAAAGCTGCTAGTCTTTGTAAAGCATTGCTTATAATCAGAGCATTGGATATCTAGACCTGATGTGGGAGGAAGGAGCTAGTTGAAGTCTGCTGAACAGGGTTACCATGAGGACCCTTCTACCACCATTGAAGCCCACAAATAAAATATGCTGGTTTAAAGATGTATAATTTAGCCGGGCGTGGTGGTGCGCGCCTTTAATCCCAGCACTTGTGAGACAGAGGCAGGTGGATCTTTGTGAGTTCGAGGCCAGCCTGGTCTACATAGTGAGTTCCAGGACAGCTGGGGCTACAAGGAGACCCTGTCTCAAAAAGACAAAAAAAGATGTACAATTTGGCCGGGCTTGGTGGTGCACGCCTGTAGTCCCAGCACTTGGGAGGCAGGGGCAAGCAGATCTCTGTGAATTTGGAAAAGCCTGCCTGGTCTACATAGTGAGTTCCAGGCCAGCTGGGGTTGCAGGGAGACCCTGTCTCAAAAAGACAAAAAAAAAAAAAAAAAAAAAAAAAAAAAAGCTGTACAATTTGAGGGCTGGAGAGATGGCTCAGTGGTCAAGAGCATTAGCTATTTTCCCAGAGAACCCAGGTTTGGTTCTCAGCACCCACATGGTGATTAACAACTGTTGGTAACTCCATTTCCAAGGGATCTGACATCATCTGGCTCCATAGGCATTACATGCACATGATGCACAAAATTCAGACAAAGCACTAATACACATAAAAATAAATAAAATTTTAAAATGTGCATTGGATTTGATCAATTTACATGCCACTTAAATTGCTTACAAAAATGATGGTGTGTGTGTTTTTAATTTTATTTATTTGTATTTTATGTGTTTGAGTGTATTGCCTGCTTGTATGTAAGTGCACCTGTGTTGTACAGTGCCCGAGGAGGTCAGAAGAGGGTGTTGAATCCCCTAGAACTGGAGTTAAGGACAGTTGTAAGCCAACATGTGGATGCTGGGAATTGAACCCAGGTCCTCTGCAAGAGCAGCCAGTGCTCTTAACTTCTGAGCCATCTCTCTAGCCCTGGCAAGGGAGTTTTATAAATAGAAAAGCAATTAAAATCCTGCCTATGGGGCTGGAGAGATGGCTTAGTGCTTAAGAGAACTGACTTCTCTTGGAGAGGACCCAGGTTTGATTCCCAGCATCCACATGTTGGCTTACAACATGGCGGCTACGAACCATCCGTAACTCCAATTTCAGGGGAATCCGAAGCCCTCTTCTGACCTCCGCGGCATTGCACAGCATGGGTGCACTCACATACATGCAGACAGTACACTCATACACATAAAATAAAAGTAAAAAATAAAATAAAAAGAAATCCTGCCTTATTAAATGGGACAGAGATTACAATCTGCATCAGGCATGGATTACTTTGGAAAGCATCATCTGCTTTGAGGAGCCAGGCTTCAAAGGCCTGAGGCTGGGCATTTCTGAAATGATCTTGGTCACTTAGTATGAGAGGAGCTATGTGGACAGAGCCTGATGTCTTTGGGGACTATTCACTGATGGGTGTTAAGTTTTAGGGTAGGCTAGAATTCCTGCCTATCATTCTCACCCTCTGCAGGGTTCCTTGTTGGTCACATTCTAGAAGCCATTGTCAAAGCCAGGAGTATATATTAACTAATTTCAAACACGAGTCAGCTTCCACGAGTCAGCTTTCACGTATCATGAAGCAGATGTAGCTTCGACATTTTTCCATTTTTAGGCCTTGTGGAAACTAGCCTATGTAACTGTAGGGTCTGTTCCTGTTTTTCATCTGCTGTAGAAAGCACCGCAGTCTGAAGTGGCTGGGCAATAATGGACAAGTCCATTATCATGAAGCAGTGTTTTTCATTGTTCAGGAACAAATAGTTCTCAGCTGTGTTCAGTAGCGCACGAAGATCTAGAAGCATATTTAATTAGTGTTAGTTATAGCAACTATATTTGGAAGTAGGTATTTTTATACTTCAAAAAAATGCTGGAAGCTGAGTATGGTGTCATGCATCTTTAGTGCCCACTCGGGAGGCAGAAGCAGGCAGATCTCTATGAAATCCACACCAGCCTGGTCTACGTAGTGAATTCCAGGCCAACTGGGTCTTTAGGGAGACTCTTAAAAAAGCAAAACAAAACAAAAATTCTGTAGAGCTAGGAATGTGTCGCTTAGTTGGTAGGGTGCTTACCCAGCATGCTTGAAGCCCTAGGTTTGATCCCCAGCACCACATAAACTCCTCTTGGTGGTATACACCCAAGAAGAGGGAAGGAGGGAGGGAAGGAAAGAGGCATGGGAGGGAGGGTAAACTGAAAAATTATGGTTGGAGTTTTGAAAACCCAGATATTTTTGTAATACATATTTGTCTTAGGAGAGTATGGCAGTGTTTGCAATGACTCCCCAGGCACGGCCTAATTTGAAACAGTAAAGAGCAGAGCCTGTCATTCTGAGAGGGTTTGCAAGAAATCTCTGGACACTAACTGGCAGCTAGAGCTCAGCTGCTGAGGTCAACTTCTTGCTAAACCTTGTGTTTTGAGAGTCTTAGAAGGCTATGCTAGTTGTATGATGAATACTTTATTTCGATTCACCAGTCAACCATAGACAATTGCTCTTCCTGTGGTTTCTACAAAGCCAAACAAGGCAGGTGGCTTGTGTCTCCACACTAGTAGTAAAAGAATACTCATGTTTTGGTGTTTTCAATTTTTTGTTTTGTTTTGTTTTTTGTTTTTTTGAGATGGGGTCTCCCTGTAGCCCTAGCTGGCCTGGAACTCACTATATAGACCAGACTGGCCTTGAACTCACAGAGGTCCGCCAGCCTCTGCCTCCTGAGTGCTGGGATTAAAGACGTGTGCCACCGCACCCGGCTTTGTTTTAAATATTTTAAAATTATTTTTCTTTTATTTTATGTTATTTTATTTATTTATTTATTTTTATTTTGTGTATGAGTGTTATGCCTGCATGTAAGTAAGCACACCCGTGTTGTGCGATGCCCTCAGAGGACAGAAGAGGCTGTTGGATCCCCTGGAACTGGAGTTATGGACAATTGTTAGCTGCCATGTGGATGCTGGGATTCGAACCCAGGTCTTCTGCAAGAACAGTGTTCTTAACTGCTAAGCCATCTCTCCAGCCCCAAATTATTTTTATTTTATGTGTTTGCGTGTATTGCCTGCATGTATGTAAGTATACTTGTGTCATGCAGTGCCCATGGAGGTCAGAAGAGGGTGTCAGATCCCCTGGAACTGGAGTTACAGATGGTTGTTAACCGCCATGTAGGTGCTAGGAACTGAATCCGGTTCCTCTGCAAGAGCAGCCAGTGCTCTTAACCACTGAGCCATCTCTCCAGACTGTTTTAGTGATTTTTTTTTCAAGTTGAAAAAAAATTTTTATTGTTGTGTAGAAATATATATATATACATAAAAATCCCCAACAAAACATGCTATTCTCTCATTTCTCATCCTCTTCTCTGGTATAAAGGATATTATTACACCCTATTCAAACTTCACCCAGATGTCCAGACAATGCCCCATCTGTGTATTCGTTTGTATTTGTAGGCTGCATAGTCATGTAGCTGTCTGCAGACACCAGGTCGCCCTTGTACTCCATCCCCACTTCAGTTTCACCTTCACTGGCTTTCCTATCAGTCCATTGAGAAAAGGTTTGGGATTGCGGGGGGTGTAATCAGGAACACTCAGGTTTTCCCATTTTGCTTTAAATGTGTTCCTCTGATTCTTTGCCTTCTAAAATTTCCTGGGGTGTGGGAAACAGGTGCTTTTTCTCAATGGTTACACTGCGACGTCTCTCCAGCCCCCACAATTCCTTGTTTTGTTAGGCTGTGGACCTGTCTGTTTGCAGGAAGAATCAACACTTTGAAAAGTGATGCAGCTCTTGTCTGGACATGTTTTTTTGTTTGTTTGTTTTGTTTTCGTCTTTTTGAGACACGGTCTCCCTGTAGCCCCAGCTATCCTAGAACCCACTATGTAGACCAGGCTGGCCTTGAACTCACAGAGATCTGCCTGCCTCTACCTCCCAAGTTCTGGGACTAAAGGAGTGTGCCACCAGGCCTGGCAAGGTGGTAGGTTTTATAAAGGATGGTTCTGAGGGTAGGAGTTTGTGACTGTACATGTCCAAAGTAAAGGATATACTGACCTGAAAATTCTCTACATCTTGTTGCAGATTTTTGGAAGTACCAGCACAATAACACTGCCTGAAACCTTGTTGTTTGTTTCAACCCTGGATGGAAGTTTGCACGCTGTCAGCAAGAGGACAGGCTCAATCAAGTGGACTTTAAAAGAAGGTAATTTGAATTGTCCTTGGGTGACATGGACATTTGCTTAGCTGCTTCCAAGTAAACATATTCCAGAGAAAAATGCATATATGTTGTTTAATTAAATAAGGAGAATGAGCTAGAAAGAGGAATTCTACTCAGAGGGCACGTGTATAGCCAGAACTGCTGTGATTACCACTGAGTGCATCAGATGAAGAAGCCATCTTATCTCTTATGCCTCATTGCTTCTGTCCAGACTCAAGTTTAAATAGCTCTAGGCTTTTCTATTAATAGCTCTGACTGGTTGGTCTTTCTGAAGACCTACTGCATTAGATTTGTTAAGTTCTAATGATTAGAATCTTGTAATCATAATTACAGGACAATATCTTCTCAACTCTTCAGATTATTCATTTGTTTTTATAGAGGCTGAAATCACCAGGGGCTGTCAGATTTGACATTCACCTTAACTTCACCACGTTATTGGGTTATTGAGATAAGGAAAATGAAAGCCTGGGCTTGTTTTCATTTAACCCCTCTCATGACTATCCTGTTATCTTGATCTTCCTGGTAGTACTCAGCAGTGGGAAACTACAGCTGGGAAATTCATCCTATTTAATTTCCAGGGTGATCCTCCTGGATGAAGCCAGGCACATATCAGGATTTCAGGCTTTCAGTATCATCTCTATTACTCTGTCCCATAATAAGTCCTAACTCAGGTCTGACTAGCACACTCTCTCTTGTCACTGTTTTATGGTTCATGAGTTTGTTTTGTTTTTTTTCTTTTTTTGAGACAGTGTCTCCTTGTAGCCCCAGCTGGCCTGGCACTCACTATATACACCAGGCCGGCCTTGAACTTAGAGATCTGCCTGCCTCTGCCTCTCAAGTACTGGGATTTTTAAAGGCATGCACCACAATGCCCAGCTTTTTTTTTAAGTGAATGAGTGTATTGTCTGCATGTGTGTGAGTGTCCTGCAATGCCCACGGAAGTCAGAGGAAGGTGTCAGATCCCCTGGAACTGGAGTTACGGATAGTTGTTAGCTGCCATGTGGGTGCTGGGAATTGAACCCGGGTCCTCTGCAAGAGCAGTCAGTGCTCTTAACTGCTGAGCCATGGCTCGTAAGTATTTTCATGAGCACAACAGCAATTTTCCTTTGTTAAAGAAAGGATAGAAAGATTGGAAAAATATTGTCAGGTGTCAAAAGGTCACCACATCACTTTGTCACTTTAGCAGCAAACCTGTTCATAGGTAACAGCAGCCAGGACTGCTCCCAACTTACCTGTTTGCACCCTGCCTGGATCAGCAAGGACTTTAAAGTACCCAAGGGCCAGCTCTGTCAGAAATGGGTAGCCAGAAGATTCTTAGTTCTATCTTTGAATTGTAGGCGCTGAGAACTCACGTGTACTATTTCTTTTTTTATGGTTTAAGCCTTTGTATTTTTAAATGAAATTAGCATTTTTTTAAATTCCAGATTTTTTTTTTTTTTTTTTTTGAGACAGGGTCTCCCTGTAGCCCCAGCTGGCCTGGAACTTGCTAAGCAGACCAGGCTGGCCTCGAATTCACAGAAATCTGCCCACTTCTGCCTCCCGAGTGCTGGGATTAAAGGCGTGCGCCACCACGGCTGGCCAGATCTTTTTGTTTTATACAAAGATAAAAACCAACAACCTACAAAGACTTGGGAGAAACGTTTTGGCTGCTGTCCCTCAGTGTCTCTCTCGGCAGGGCGGCCCTGCCACCTGAGCCGCTTTGTTTCTCACTTCAGTCTTCATTGCTGTAAGCAGACTTGGCTGTGTCCAGCACAACTGGGGCTTGTCTTGTCTGTTACCTTGTCAAACATGTTAATCATTTTGTTCTCCCCTGTAACTTCGAGGTATAAGAATTTGCCCCCCCACTCCCCATTTAACATATATTTAGAGAACTTAAGCCTGGGAAAGATACTATTATAGGACATGGAGAAAATGGGAAACCTTGTCCTCAGGGCAGGATTCTGTAACTATTGTAGGAAAGTTCTAGCAAGATGCTGTGAACCTGTATCATGTAAACACAGGTCAGGCTGGTGAAGCTATGGTGTCAGAGGTGGGCCATGAGCAGGGTGGATGGAATTCATTTGGGACAGAGGCCTGACAAAGAGCAAAGGGAGCTGCAGGTTCTGGGGAAAGGACTGACACATTCAGCAGGAAAGAGGCAGAGGATTAGAGGGCCACAGGGATGTTGAGCCTGACTGACTAAACAGGAAATTGGGAGCTATTAACGTGCTTGAGCAGGTGAGTGACTCATCAGATGCTCTGCTTTCAGATTAATCCAACAGTAGCCTTTGTGGGATGACTAGAAACAGGAAGGTGATCTGAAAATGGGGTAGGGGAAAGACTAGAGATAGATTTGATAGAATCCAGCCACTGATTAGATGGGAGGAGCAGAGAAGAGTTAAGGATGGATTAGAGATACTTGATTAAGAGCTGAGCATTTCAAGTAATATTCATTATGTTGTAGGTTTCATTGCCGAGAATAAACTATGTATGCAGTAGTTGCTTTGTTATTATCGTTTTTGGTTGGTACAGGCTTTCATGTAGCCCAGACTGGCCTCAAACTCCTTATATAGCCAGAGATGACCTTGAACTCCTGATCTTCCTGCCTCTACCTCCCAAGTGCTGGGATTATAGATATGTGTCACCATGCTCAGCCTAGACTACTTTTTATTTTTTTATTTTTATTCTTTTGGTCTTTTTGAGACAGAATCTCCCTATATAGCCCCAGCTGGTCTGGAACTCACTATGTAGACCAGGCTGGCCTCAAATTCACAGAGATCTGCCTGCCTCTGCCTCCCTAGTGCTGTGACTAAATTCGTGCCCCACCACACCCGGCTTAGACTACATTTTAAAATTAAATTAAGCCCTGGATAGCAGTAACCTCAATTTGTATTTCTGTACAAAGATGGTAACACCTTGATACTATGAGTTGATAATGTAATTTTAATCTTGTGGTTATAACTAAATACTTGGTATATTTAAACTGTTAGTATGCAAATAGATTATGAAACTATCTAGACAGTGTTCTAGACCCAGCAAGGGAACAGAATAGGAGAAAAAAACTCCCTTGCCCGCCAAGTTTTGATTCTAGTAGGGAAACATTTGGGAAAAAATTCATGGTGAAAAGAATCATGGAGAACATTGGAGTAGGAAAGTAGATCAGTGCTAGGTTGGGGTAGGGCTAGGGGACTGCAATTTTAAACAGGCCCCACTGAGAATATGTCATTTGAGCAAGACCTCAGGGAAGCATGGGCATCTTGTAGGGAGAGACATGATGGAGTATTACTGGTTGAGTAGTGGGGGTGGCCTTGAGGTTATAACCCTATCCAGCTTCTGGTCTGCCTCCATGATGCTACCAGCTACCTCTTGCTCCTACTGACATGGACTAAGCCCCTCCTGTCATGCCTTCCCCCCCTCCCATGATGGACTGTGCCCTCTAAACTGTGAGCCAAAATAAATCTCTCCCCCCTTAAGTTGCTTCTGTCTGGTATTTTGTCATGACAATGAGAAAGGTAACTAATATGTAGGACAGGGATGGGAATACTCTCAACTGAAGAGTATGCAGTGGGTGGGTATGAGACAGTAGGAGGTGAGCTGAATCTAGAGAGGTGATAGGGCCAGTCAGATAGGACATAAGATAGGACATGTTCTGCCTTTACATAATTTATTATAAAGGTGCCCTTTTGCTTTCCTGAATTAAAATTTATAGATAGTAAATACATCTATATGTATGTATGTATTTATAAATACTAAATACATACGGTTTTTTACAAAGAAATCTATTGCCCAACTGGTAATCTAAAACTGAACAATAGGAAAAAAAAATTTTAAGTTGAGATAGAGTCTCACTGTATATCCCAGGTTGGTTTGGAACTTACTGTGTGGCCTAGGTTGACCTCAGACTTATGAGTCTTCTGACTCAGACTTCTGGGTACAGGTATTATAGGCATATATTACCATATCTTGCTCAGGAACATAGTTTTTTCTTGTTAATTTTTTTTTTTTTTTTTAGACAAGGTCTCTTTTTAGCCCCAGCTGGAACTTACTGTGTAGCTCAACAAGAACCCAAACTTATGACAGTCTTCCTGCCTCAGCCTCCTGCATACTGGGATTACAGACAACCATATTTTATTATTTTTATTTTACGTGTATGAGTGTGTTGCCTGCATGTATATAAGTGCACCAGTGTTGTGCAGTGCCTGCAGAGGTCAGAAGAGGGTGTTGGATTTCCCTGGGACTGGAGTTATAGTTATTAGCCATCATGTGGTACTGGGAATAGAATCCATGTCTTCTACAAGAGCAGCTGGTACTCTTAACCACTGAGTCATCTTTCTAGCTCCTAATTTTAAATTTTTTAACTTTTGAGAATTTCATACTTGAGTATTATCTTTGCATTATTTCCATTCCTCTCAGTCCTCCACCAACTCCTACCATGTCCCCCCATTCCCTCTCAACTTCTTGTCCTCCTCTTTGATTTTATACACACACTCATGCACATACACACGCATGCACGTACATGCACACACACACACACAGAGTCCATTTAGTGGTGCTCATGTGTACCTGTGTTTAGGGTTGTCCATTTGGGATTAGACAACCTCTCAGGGAGCTCATCCCTAGAGAAAACTGATTCTCCCTCCCTCAGCATCCATTGATTGACTATAGCGCTTTGTCTTGAGGTGCCATTCCCCTTATTCTACCATTTTGTGGAGATTTCATTGGTACAGCTTTCCTATCACATCTAGAATGCATTAGCTAGCAGTACCCTCCAGCTTTTACATTCTTTCCACCCCTTCTTCTGTGATGTTCCCTGAGCCTTAAGTGTAGAGGTTGCATTGTAGAGGTGTTGCTCAGGGTGGGGCACCTCACAGCCACTTGTTCTTTGCATTTGACCAGTTGTGAAACTTTGTCATAGTCTCCAACTGTTGCAAAAAGAAGCTTTTTTGATGAGTGGTGAGAGATATATTTGTCTATAAACATAAGGATATGTATTGAAACTACAGTGA